ATACAAATCTATTACTAGCACCATCCAGTTGGACTGAAGCGGTAGGCTCTGGCACAGGAGTTGATGTAGTCTTTCTTGAATTCTCAAAGCGTTAGATCAGTTAGACCATAACATTCTGCTCTTCAAACTCCAGACCTTCGATATTGGAGATCCTCTTCTAAGATGGATCAGAAGCTTTCTCCTACCCCGGCGCCTGGAAGTATGTGCGCGTGATTCGCTATCAGATCCCATCCAAGTTGAATGCGGAGTATCACAGGGATCGGTACTAAGACCGCGATTATTTTTGACGTATATTAACGATATCACAGGCCTCATAAGCTAGAACTGCCTGTTTTATGCCGATGATATCAAGGTGTGGAGAGCAATCAATATACCAAATGATCACACAGTACTTCAAGCTGATCTGGATAAGGTATACGCGTAGTCCATCCAGCATATACTTCGACTCAATGTGGACAAATGTAGAGTGCTGCACCTACGGCACACGTTGGCGCATTCTTACAAACTCGACAACCAAGATCTTCAAACGTCTTCTGGCTAGAAGGATCTAGGAGTTCTGTCCAGGTTGATCTTGAATGTTCGAATCAGGCTAAAACGGTGTCAAGGCGGGGCATTCAACACGTTGGTCTCCTGAAGAGTGTATTCGGAAGATTCAACCCTTCGATTTTTCTACAACTCGGCTCATACATACGGCCACATGTGGAATATGCAATACAGGTCTGGCAGCCACGGTTTAGGAGAGATTTCACCGCTTTGGATACATCCCAACGCCGGGGCACCAAAAATGCCAAGGATCTGTATAAGCTGCCGTATGAACGCAGGCTTCAAATGCCCAGGGTCTTCAACGGACAGTATCGGCGATTGAGCGAGGACCTCATTTTGACTTACCAGATTTTGAGCGATCCCAACCATACGTGCCACTAATTGCTAGAGCTCAGTTACAACAGCAAGTTGAGAGGCCGCCATCTCAAGCTGGCAGAGCATCACAGTTGCTTTGAATGTCGTCGGAATTTCTTTTCCTTACACTTTGCCGTACGTGGAATACCCTACTTGGATCTGTCATATGTGCTCCCAGGCTGGCAGAGTTCAAATCCAGGGTTGACCGTGCACTTATTTCGCTGCACCATCTTACATGACCCATTACCCATGGATAAACACAAGTGTAAGAGATTTCACTGGCGGTCAAGTCCCAGATTTCGTTACACTTTTTCATCTCCTGTATGTGTACATGGGGAGGAGACACGATTTTACCAACATCCCATTTGCCGTCATTTTCTATGGATTTAAAGCTTACCCTACGTATACCCCTGCGACTTCTCGGGTGTAAACCTAAGTTTACTAACAATTTTTTATATGTTGAAGTTTCACCAAAACCATCCCACGGAGGCTGTTAAGCTTTAGCTAGTTTACCCGTATAAAACCATTGTTCCATTGTACGCAGAACGGCATCAAACGCGTGCCCTCGTCACCGTTCCTCCGTCGATCCAATGGGCAAACGCAGCGCTTTGGTCACATGTCTAAACGAACGCTACCGAAGATGAGGTGGGAAGCTGCCACACAAGAAATACTGACTCTTTTGCTCCTGCTGTACAGACCACATTCAGCTCCAGGCGCCAAATTAGAAGCATTAATGGTTAGAAAACTCCGTACTTTGAATTCATTGCTACGTCAGAAGCGCATTGCTCCGCAAAACAAGAACTCGAGAAGGGAGAAATGTCATCATCAGTGACAGAACGCAAGTAGATCTATTTTATCCAGAAAATTATTTTGGCGATAGACTTGTAAAAGGAAATCACGATAGACAATATATTTGATCGGTAGCAGACTTGGACACGTGCTCTATAATGTTCGAGTAGGCGCTATGACTTGGACCAGACGGGCAAGCCAGCTGCGGCAACCAAAATTCAAATAAGCGCCAGCGAATGATCACTACCACGGGAAATTCTGTCGGACGATTTCAAAACACATAGTAGAAAGCAGGGGAGACCGAATTGACCTTGCCTCGTGGTTACGGAAGGAATTAATTTGCAGCCACAACGATGGACTGCTCGAATACGGGGACCCATGGCCAGAATGTGGTTGGCTTCTAGAAGAAAGCCGTACCTCAATTTTCGCGGGATAAGTTTAAAGTCTTTCAATCCTGGTTCCATACCGGTAGTTTCAGTGGAACTGCGGATCAACACAGCACGAAGATCATTAGCCAAGAACCAGCTAATAAGGGCGACCGTACCGTTGAAGTCGGCCAATGACAACACGTTGATGTACTCATGAGTAGGAAATTTTTGATGCAAAAAAGTTGGGGATGCCTTAGCAGCAGCTTCCGAAACAAATAGTCCTCTGCATGTTTGAAAAAGCACTAGGCGACCGTTTCGACCCGTGGCGTCCAGTAGGTGGTGTGTGTTAGGTTCGTGTTTAAAACTTTCTGAAGCATTCGTGTTTCTCGGAATTGTGGTTTCCAGCTGACCTACATTCCATTAACATTGGCGCTACGCCCGCTCAACACACCGCGTGAGCGACACCACGTGGTTCACACACAGACCAACATATAAACCAAATAGATCCCCTCATCAAATTGAAATTGCAGTGAGAAGACGAATATCGGCAGATGCATGCATTTCGTACGGTCTCGTCAGTGTCGATAGTCTAACGTGAAATTACATACGGCGGTTAGATGATGCAAGCAGACAAAAAGCAAAGGACAAGAAAAATAACGGAATTCGTGCCACCACGTCCAGGCCAATTCTGTGGTAGTCCGACAATTGCCTTTGGACGCAAAGAACCGGTTTACTCCGTTTTATTGCGATAGCCACAGATTCGGAGGAGCCGTGAATTAGTGTAGCGTAGAAGGACTGAGGTGACTTGAAGTCGAGATAAGCGCTTGGGGATCGAAAATGCCGTTGGGTTGCGTAGACGTGTAGTCTTACTTGGAGCTGTTTGCAGTGTTATCTCGCATTGAACCCGCTTAGGCATGTGCTCTTTCATTCTGGAACTCAAGGTCCTAAACGGTTTTGTTTACGTAACTAGCTCGCAGTTACATACGAATTGGTATGTACAGTGAGAGCTGGGCCAGGTAGATTGAGTTTCATTCAATGGAGATAGCGGCAGCTTGTGATTTCCGTCGATGATAGCAACCTTGGTAGCGGAAAGCATAGTGCGAGTTTAACAGCAAAAAATTCAAAGCGGTCAAAGGTCCTTGGGCTCACGTGACCCGTGGTCACGCTAGCCCTTCCCAGCTGAGGCTAGTGATTGCGTTATCCTCGGAACTGGTCACGTGAACCTAAGGACCGACAACTTTGGTAGCACTGAAAGTGCTCTGTGGGCCAGAGACCAGACGCCTAGTAGTCCTCAGTGAAGCTATGCTATCTCTAAAAGAAAGCTCTAAGAATATCTTCTTATTAGGTACAGTTGGCACGTAGCCGTTTTCAGTTAGCGTAAGAGTAATCAACCATAGTTCACCGGCCAGACAATCGGTCAAGCATATTCATCTGGCACGACTTAACAAGGTCTTCAGTAGCGTCCGTTTGTACCGCATTGGCCTAAAACTGGGGAAATGCAGGTACTGGCCGGACCACGTTGCTTTTCGGTAGACAGATTTTTTGACTTGTCTGTTCGCCCTGCGGCAGTTCGGCTGCTCAACTTCATAAGCGACTCTCAACTTCCATGGGTAGCAGTTAAACGCGTTACTAGCTGCGTTACCTGACGCTATGATGAACGAAACGCCAAGATGCCATCCACATAACGTTTATAGTATGGCAGCTGAGCTACTTTTTCGGGTATCCCTCGCTCCAACAACAGCATAAAGAAATCCGTTAGAATAGGGTTCAGCTGGCTGCCCATAGCTACCCTTGAAGTGAAATTACACATTCTCTAGGCACAAAAGCAATGATTCTCATAAGAATTCAACCAGTATCGGTAACGAAAACCCCGGACTTTCAGCCAATTCACAAATGTAGTCTACCGCCTGACGCGGCGGGACGTTGGTAGGCATGGATTACACATCTAAAAAACACACATGACCTCTGCTCATTAGTATGGTGGCGCGACAAACACGTGGCAACTTTAGTTGCTTGACGAAGTATCTTATCTCACATCCATTCATAAAACGGACATACTTATGTAGCCTCAAGACGTACCACACACAACCGGAGGACCGGAAAACCGACATGCATGTCTTCCTCCACGTTCTCAATGCTCTACGTCATGGTATGAAACTTTGCACCGGACCTGACCTGAAATCACACCCCAACACGCGATAAGTCCCTTTGTTTTATCTGTACGATAGTGTCTGATTTTTTCAACCAGTCAAGAAATAAGCGGCACTAATAGTGAGCATCATCGGATCCATCAAGATCCGAACCCATGACTCCTAGTGGCGCGCGCCGCCAGCAAGCAACTTATATTACTGAGTCGTAGGGAACAGCGGCGAACCGTTATAATCTAAAAACTAACTTCAATATAGCGCGTCTCATCCTTTACTGCTATGTAAGTTACGAGCATTGCAGAGGACAGAGTCGGCCCCACGAGACTGGACTGTCTGATTTGGAAGCTACTGCGGAGAACCCCCCGACTATTGCTAACACTTTTGGCTTGCAGCTTGCAAACCAGAATGTTTTCCTGTAGCTGGCAGTTTCTAGTAGCAAGGAACCATCCCCTAGCTGATTTCTGTTGAACTAGATAATTGGAGCTACTTCGACCGACAAACACGCTGTATCTTCCGAGATTCATCTGTAGGCTTTAGGGAAAGGCTGATCCGCGATCCCGCTAGCCGAATCGGTTATAGGTGCGTCAGCGGAAACACAACGTAGTTAGAGTGCTAAGGGTTGTCTTGTTGATTTAGAAACGCGTATCGAAGAGTAAGAATTAATCGAATTGCCCAAAGGTTAAATATGCTGTATGGCTTTGATCAGACAGCGGGGTGTCATAAAGATTGTTAAGTGCTTCTTGTCTGCAATGTGATCATAAAGACCAGTGCTAAGTGCGCCAACCGAAGCGCAACTTACCTCAGAGCTTAGACAACTGATAACTCCTCCGGGGCCATCGACAGTGTCCAGTAACTGGGGCATATTCTCCTTGAACACAGCATACAAGCGGACCATGTGATCATTGCTCCCAACTAGAAGATAATGCTGGACAGGGGAAATTATATCCCAAGCCAAAGCGGTGATCCAGTCGTTCGCAGCGTTGATGACATCAGGGCAGAAGGAAGTCAATGTAGAATCTTCCATTAATGCAAATATTTTGAGGATCTAATGTTGGAGTCGAGAAAGAACAACGCATTAGCTAGTGAACAAGACTTCTATGAGTACCTTGGATAAAATGACTCTGTAGAACAGACATGAAAAGACACCACAACTAACTGAGTGGCGATCTATCATATTTTGTCAACGTGTGCGGCCCGAAGAGCCCGCGAAAGTGTATTTTATCCATTGCAGCCTATTATCTTCCCGGAAGGAAACTTGTGAAATCGACATCTATGTTCAGCATCGGTTGTATGAAATACTAGAATCAAGACTATTCACCAGTGTGTAAGAAAGAAACGCGGAATTGGGAAACATTTCAGTATTATTTAATGCAGCAGACCACTTTCTCACTGTCTACTTTCCTCGCCGTGCTGTCAGACCACGCTGTCTCGTGAGCTGCTTTATGCATAAAAATATTTCCGTCTTTATTTTAGCCCATTTCAGCTTTTTTCTGATTCTGAAGTTAATTATCGCGAATAGGTGCCTGGTCTATGTTTAGGGTATAGTCCTCATATCGTCTTCCTAATGACGATTCAATCTATCTGTAGTACTCGTTCAAAAATTGTTAGACATAGGGATAACGCTGTTACATGCTTTATATATCATGTGAATTTCCATAATTTCTGCGTTGGTCTATGCGCTGACCAATTTAAGCTTCCTCGTGGTGTTCAGCACGATTTCGACCAAATATTTCGTATGAAATGTCTGACTCAAATACAACCTAATAATATGGGAAAGAATTTCAGAGCGCCCAGTAGAGCGAAAAGTTCCACGGCGAGAAGCCTTGTGTGTTTATCCCTACAAGTTAATGAGCAGCCACTTATGTTCAATAAAGCACTCCTGTTCGCCGGTTGAAAGCCATCCGGAACGATGTCCAATAGTTAATGTAGGCAAAGCTGGTGTACCCGTGTTGCGCCCTGCCACGCAAGTGCCTAAGTGATGGCCAGCGGAAAACACGAGCGAGGAAGAAAGAGTGAGCAATTGGCAGAGACCAATGGCGTTGCGATTGCACGATATTTCATGCACCTGAGTTAACTGATTTCAATCCTTAGACTCACTTTGAACAAGACGCCGAGTTTCGTGGTGTCTGACTCACGGAATCATGGACGTAGGTGAACAGGGATTGAGAGCGAACAAATCACCTCCCCTCGGAAAAAGATGTGAGTATGAAACTCGGCTTATATGAGTCACTTTCGTTGATCAAGCTAGTCTGAGACTGATATTATCTCATCTAGGTAGGCTGAGGTCAGAAGGTCCATATTAGTCAAGTTATGGATTCAACGGAGTGGAAAAGACAAGTCCGCTATCGTTGAGTCAAAGTGGCGCACTGATAGGGGAGAAACTAATCTCCACATTGTAAATTTTGACGTACTTACCCGTGTTCGCCGAATCCGGATCAACGGGTCGATGACATTGCATGTGCGCCCTGCAGTCCCTATCGTGACCTAAGTATAGCCTACATCAATATGTTCAGTATAGTGAACAGATATGATGAGCTGTGACAATTCGGGACCTTTCTACGGCAAAACGTACCAAGATTCACTGAGACCTAGTTGAATCTTGAAGCAACTCGCCAGTAATTCAAGCCTAGTAACTCATCGTGCTTCCGCCGCGATAGACTATCAAATAACTGCGGTGGCGTGTTGTTACCTATTCGGTCTTCCTTGTGCGGGAGACCAGTACATACCTACAGAAGCGAAGCGCAACTATGGAGCTCGATCTACCTGAGACGTGGTGAAATGTTCTTGAGTGTGGTCTATAACCGTCCGCGAAGCTGACATTTGTTATGGTTATGGCATCTCCGAAATCACATGAGCCGTCCCAGGTCGCGGCTCATGGGTGCTTTTAACTTACCTAGAATGCCGTGGCCTGAGGTTCAACTTATTCCCAGACAGAGCGAGATCTAGGAAAAGCTTGCGAATATGGTAGTAGAACTTGGAACAGCACAACAAGTCAGCCAATCGATGTGAATAACATCGCACTCAACTCCATTGTCCATGGAGCTGGTTTGGACTGTCTGTAAACACTGTGTGTAAGAAGTTCAGGCCACGGCACAATAATCATAGACAGCTTGGAGCTACTGCTGTCACACTTAAGTTTGCTAGACTCATTCTATAACTACTAGCAAACTGACTTCGATGATCTCACTCGAGTCGCTGGCCAAGTGGAGTGGTCGTCGTTGCAGGATTCCTTCGTTGTAGGTTGTTGCTCTACTATAAAACAGGGAGTAATATCACTGTGAGCCCGATTTCTACCGCTCAAGTATCGGAAATTCGGGCCAGTGAAATCACATTAGCTCGACAAGGAGTATGGTTAGTTGGTTCGAGGTTGTCCAGGAGTGTTGGATAAATTCCTCTTGTCTGGCTCTACCAACAAGTGCGAGGCGTATGTCAGCGGAATACCCGCAACAAAGTGAAAGTGCAGAAACGTCAGAAGTTCGAAGAGCAGCTTGCGAGGAACTTCGCTTAAGTAGTGAGGCATCTAAGACCTACAGGTGACGTACTAGCGATAGAAAGCTCAGACATACAGTCCCTAACCTCTAGCACAGAGCATTCACCCACATCGACGGCCCACTCCGCTTCCGTATACGCAAATGGTCAGTTGTCTGCACCGAGTTCGATGTGCATCCCAACCACCGAACACAATAGCTTGGACTGCCGTGTGGAAGAGGTAACACACTACTTTGCGGTTTTGACGCACGAAGCTTACCGGTCCTAGAGAGCTCCATCAGCTGCTTCCCAAATCGCTAATGACCGACATTTTGCTTTCCGCGACTGAGCAGTACAAGGGTATGCTGGGCGAAAGTCCATGCTGACCGACTGGAAGTGCTCAGTAGTACAGCTGATTTCGAAGAGCAATGAACTAAGCAACGTGGACAATTACCGCCTGATCTGCAAGACCGCTGCTTTGACCAAGGTACTTGATAATATCGTGAAGAAGGGTCTGCTGCAACTGTTGGAGTGGAAAGACCACCTGACGTCCACATGGCACAGTTTCACGCAAGGCCGCTCTGGCACCACCAAGCATTTCGTGACAAGGCAAGCATGGCTGCAGGCACGGAACCAGGGAAAGCCGGTAGACTTGATCTACCTTAATTTCAGAAATGCGTTCGACAAGTTGAAGCATGAGATCCTTCTCCACAAGTTGGTGTGCGATATTGGTGGCTCATTGTACCGGTGGATAAGCGATTTTCTTCTTGAACCAATTGGAGGGAGCAGACAAATATGTGGTGTACCCCAATGCACAGTGCTTGGGCCCATTTTGTTTCTAACCTATATAAACGAAGTACCTAGGCTTTTCGGGTAGCTCTATGCTCTAGTTGCAGAAGAGCTGAAGAGTAACAAATGTTCCAGATGACTGCGATGTATTTCAGCATGACCTCGACCGACTTCATATGATCTGCAGAAGTCAGCCTGCAGGTCAATTCGGTCAAATCAATATTTGTGAGCCTGGGAAGGAAAGTGACGAACAAACTTACACTTTGGTCGGAAAACCACCTCATCCCATGCCTTTCGTGAAGGACATAGGTGTGCTCACACGTTGCTATGTGAAGTCCATAGAGACCATTCATGCTTTAGGCTCTCAAACACGGCTTCTGCTATTGTTCTGAGGAGAATGTCACTTGCATCTTCTCTTCCATCAGAGAATCACCACTAGAGTACGGCTCACCACTGGTCGCTTGTCCATTCGTCCGTGACTAGGTGGAAAAAGTTGAACGTAGCTACCACGCTTAACCTCCGTTTACGGATATGCAGCCTGAAGGCCGATTCAGAAAACTGGGGCTATACAATCTGTGACTTCCCCATGCTAAGACCGCTGCTAAGCTGCTAAACACCAGCACAAGTCAGTAATAGCTCACCTTTATACTTCGAGCGTCGAATATTGAAGTTTCGGAAATTTGACAGAGAACATAGCCGTGGGTAAATCGGTGCCGGATTTTTAGAAGTTCCTAGAGACCAACTTTGTAGACTTCACGTTTAGAGAATGTTTCGCAGCCGAATAGCACATTTCCATTATTTTGGAAATGTACAGGGATCGGTAAGGTTGTTCCACGTGTGTGCTCGGTCAAATTGTGATGCGGTCACACATATTTACAACTTCTCCCGTAGTTACCGTGTTCAGTACCAGTTATTGTTCCTCTCGGTGAACCCGATTTTTAGCAGCAGTTGACGACAGTAGCACTACTGACTGCAAACCATGTTGCTAAAGGTGACGCCAAGAATGTTCACATGGCTTTAGATGTTACCGAAACTGTTTAGCGATTAGAACTACGTAATGACACATAAGCAAATTCAATGTCTATAAATAATAGCTACTAAATTTACATACACTGATACATGGTTAAGTTAAATTAACATGGTCCGCGCACCTAGATGCGTTAGATTTAGTTGTCCGGGACAAAAGGCATGTACGAAACTTCAACTGAGCAACTGAATGGAAGTATGCATAGTACGGTGAGGTGAAGCACAGAGCTCACGGTGAAAGCAGCGCCTGTTATCACAAGACGGACGACCAGTTGACGAATTCACCTCGGATGCTGATGAGGCATTCGGATTGTAGCTGCACTACGCAGGCGCGGGTGACTTTGTAACCTACTATGTGAATCCAGTGTCAGTTGTGTGTGAAAAGAGAAAGATACTTTAAGTTGACGTAAATCACTGGTGACGTTGGCAGTAAGGTGGTTTTGGTAGTTTACAGAAATCTCAAAAAATGTACAGGCTGTTGTACTACATGCTGGACAGTCAGCAAAGTACACGTGGGTGCAAACGAACAAGATAGCATGACGCAGTTTATACATTCTAATGTTGAGGAACAAGTACATGAGGATGAGAGTATGCATGATGAGAATAAGTGTATCTGCTTTTGTGAGTTAGTCGAGTCTTACCCGAAGCTTCGTGCCTACGGCCAGTAACGAGCCCCCAAGCGAAATGGCGGTAACCGCAGATTGAAATTCGGGGAGCTTCAAGCAGTTGACATGCTGTACTGTACCGTCTTCACCTTCATGGAAGAAGTTAAGATAACAAGAGCCATCGCCTCCGCCACTTGCAATTGCAAAACCTTCCATGGCGGTACAAAGAGTGCCCCCACCGCGAGCGACCGCGGTACCAGTAGCTGCATCCGTGTGATGAAATGACGAGTGTAAGAGGTTGATCGCAGAAAGACGGCAGGTACAGTTTGCAGATATGTCATGTGTGTTGAAGTTATTCGGTCGTATGATGTCGGCTACATATACCTGAGAATAAGCAACGGGATAAAAAGTAACTGAAATTGTTAAGGAGTCGGGATTGGGTGTCATGTCAGGTTAGGGCAAGTAAAAAATTGAATATCGACGGTTAAAGTACGCGTCGATGGGCCGATAGATCATGATATACACCAGAAGTTTGGAGCCTGATTTGCATTCAAGTGAAACTCAGTGTATTCAGTGGGATCGTATCTAAGAAATTTAACGATAGATGATCTTCACGGAAGTAGGTTTAACACATAAGCGCGTTTGCGGTTTTTCGGCAGCACGCCATACTCCAAACACCTTAGAATTGCGGAGCTAGCACGACAAATGGCGAGAATTGAAATAACATCAGCGGCTTGACATGATCAAGTAGTGTATGTCACCGCGCGGGAGGCCCTAGTGTAGTGACAGATGATCGCAGGAGGATAAAGGCTCACACGAATTATTTAGGTTGATCAATGGCTGCCTGTTAAGAGAATTTATGGTTGCTCCTGTCATTGCTTCGTTTCTACTCCCCAAGCAAATTCCCTTCGCGAGGTAGACTGGGAACAAATATTCCGGGGTAACGGCTGAGGGAGATTTTCCAAGTAGCAGGATGATGGGTGCGATGACATGCGGTATAACAAGGAGACGGTTGAAAATCTTGGATACAATCAGACAAACATCCAGATGTGAGGCTCAAGTAATTTGCCTTACGTGAACGAACAAAAAAGTAGTGTTACCCATGGGTGGTCCATTTTTTTAGTTGAACAGATGACAAAAGCGCAGAAGACAAGAAGTTTAGTAACTATACTGTAAAATAGGCGATCTTGACTGCGACCCTCAATTTTGTATTAGCAACACCGCTGTCCCCTTGTAAAGGCAAGGAGCAATATGAGGATGATTTCTTTGGCAATGCTCCGAACAGCCCTACCGTTTAGTTCAATAGCTAGCTAAGAATAGATCAGAATGAGGACAACCTCTTTAGCAAGATGGATTCTTCCTTTGTGGTACCGTCCGAGCATATTTTCATTGCTCATTGGCCAGGATATCCGATTAAGGTAGGATTTAGTTGAAATAACACAAAACCATCAAAAGGCCTTTTCAGACCAGTCCTTGTCTCATCCTTGTGGATTCGAAGCTGCCGAAACCTCTTTGGTCTGTTGTACCCGCGGAAATAATACATGGCATTCAACATCATCTAATGAGTAACCCGCTAGCTACTCGTCATCATAAAATGCCTGAGTCAAGTTCATGCGTCTTGTATTCTGATCAAGGCACCCGGATAAGTTTGAAGGGTGAAAAAAGCAAGGCCAGCTGCGTAAGTTATATGCCTTTGCGCAATATTTTCTGCAACCAGTTAATAGCCACAACAGAAGCCCACACATAAATGTGCCCCAGCGATAGACGAACTACCTAAGCGGTAACGAGCCAGTACCAAATGATACCATCCCAATCGATAATGCTAATATGGAGACAATACTTAGGGCAAGCAAAGAAGAAACGGGGAAGAGGATGCCGATCTGAGTTTGCAGTGCACTTATCAGAGAAGTTGGTACATGGTGGTACAACAGTCCCGCTCCCAGAGTAGCGATGATTATACTAAGTGGAGAGTCCGTTACACACCGCTGCTTCGACTTCGACATGACAGAATGCAACCAAATTAACGGGTTGATGCGATGACCATAGAAGACGTTCGGTCGGCCGATTAAGGAGCACGAGGTTAGCATGATGTCTTAGAGTAACGAAGATCGAGTTCATTCTCGCTTGTTTAAGGAAACTGGTGGACACACGAATTATCCATATAACTGGGAATTCAAAAGGGCTTCACAAAACCTAGAACATTGTGCTTAAAACGGGGACTTAATACCTGCTATTCTTACAGTTAAGCGTGATGCACACAACTCACGGTGCAAGGGCTAGGCGCACATGTTAGCGAAAGCAAGATGGGTCAGTTACTCATCTACGGGGTAGTATGATTGTGAAACGCTTAAGAAGTGCATTAAACTTGCACATAGCATCACTGTGCATCCCGCTCTTAGAGATAATCGATGGCAGAAACTTTTTCTAAGGTAGTGCCACCGAAGGAAGGTGTCCCAGACGTGACCTAACATATATGCACATGTTAAATACGACTAAAATTTATCAAGAAGTTGAGCTAGGATGTGTCCAGTAGTATCAAGTGAGCTGATTACGAATATGCCAACCAAATATTTCTATGACGTCGGGTTTTTGTGTAATTTCAATTATTAATTTCAGCTAAGCAGTGCGTTTCATACATCGAATGCTCGCCTGTGATTGGGCCGTTCGCTGCTTATAATCGTGGAAAAGAAGTCCTCTTAGCCATGGTATCCACCTGATACTGAAAGTCGATTGAGAGCTGTGTTTCCTTAATTGATATCTTGATCATGGTTGAAAGACGCTGCTGTGTCAATGACCGAAATCATTTCTGTTACGTCTGTGAACAGTTTCGTACAAAGTCGCAGTGCAGACGCACTTCTTCACTACTGAAGTCTGCCTACCAAGCATATTTCGGGATGAAACTGGGAGATTTGGATAAGAAGTGCACGCCGCATAGTGTTCGTGTGTCGTGTGTAATCTTCATCTGACGCAGTGACGCAACGGCAAAGGCGGGATGCTCTTTGCAATCCCCATAGTGTGGAGGGAGTCGAAGGATCTCACGACAGACTGCTACTTCTGCCTAACCGGTGTCATTGGAATCTCCAACTAAAACCAGGACAGAATCCATTACTCCGATCTTCCATTAGCTATTTGAACTGTTCCTCCCGATTGCGCCTTAACCATTCCAGTGCCTTCAGTGAACATGTTACATGCTGAATAGGGATTCCGCATCGTCAACTTCCCCTGATTCTAACATCTGTGAAAACTTTGACGCTGATGTTGTCGACCTACATCTTCCTGAATAATCAGGGCTGAATGAGTTGGTACGTGATCTGGGCTTGCCTAAGGACAAGGTCGATTTGCTGGCATCTCGGCTGCAGCGATGAGACTTATTTTCTGCAAACACTAAGGTTACTGTACACAGAAAGCAGTGTTAAATTGTCCGGTTTCTATGACACGATAGAAACCTTTTGTCACTGTTCCGACGTAGAAGGACTGATGAAGGAGCTTGCCCTGAGGCATATCAGTGATGAATGGCATTTGTTCATTGATTCGTCCAAGATTATTCTTAAGACCACACTGTTCCACAATGGAAAGGTGTACCCAACTGTGCTTCTGTTGCATGCAACCAACATGAAGTAGACTTGGGAAAGTATGCAAGAGATACTCGCTGCACAGACTTCTAAGTCATTGCACTTCTAATGGGGTTGCAAGGAGGCTACCCAAAATAGTACTGTTTCTTGTGATTATGGGACAGTAGAGAAAGTCAACAACACTACACAACCGAAAAACGGCCAGAGAGGATGGAGTATGCTGTAGGCAAAATGAGTGTAAAGCATACACCAGTTGTGCAACCTAATCATACCTATCTACTGTCCCTGCACATCAAGTTTGCTTGGATTAAAAACTTCATCAAGGCCGTCAAGCGAGATGGTTTTGCGTTCCAGTACCTGAAACTAGTGTTTTCGAAGATCAGCGATGCGAAGCTCAAAGAAGAGATATTTATTGGGCCTGACATTCACCGAATAATGGCAGACAGTGCCATTGAATGCCAGGTGACTTCATTTGAGTTAGAAGCGTGGCGAGCATTCAAAGCAGTGTGTACAGTATTTTTGGGTAGAACAAAGACAGAGAACTACAAAGACATCACAAAGAAGCTGCTTGCGGACTATCGGACTGTTGGTGCACGAATGTCACTCAAGATGCACTTTTTGCACGATCAAGACTTTTTACTTGAGAACTTGGGATATGTTAGTGATGAGCATGGCGAGCGCTTCCACCAAGACATTGCAGTCATGGAGCAGTGCTATGTTTGGTAATTTGCTGGTTCCTGCAGCGTGAGGGTGCTAGAACATACAAGGGACGATCTCGGCGAAGTCATCATTTCCCAGTGCCCAGCTACAGTCAGTAGTTAGCGGCGAGTGTTGCAGTGATGTTTTAAACGTACTTGTCACATAGATGCATTCTGTATATGTTGTGATTTCGTACATTTAAAAATAATTCGTAGAACGTAGCCTGAACATTACTGAAATTAGTTATTTGCACAGAACAATTGTAACCTAACGTGCTAGGTAACATTGGAATACACTTCTACGGCCAGTGGAGTGTATTCTATAAAGTAGGGACACTGGCATCTCTGTTATAGAAATAAATTTTTTGTTGTTGCACAGTATTAGTATATGTGCATGCAGCAGACCCGCGTACCGAAGGCATGTACTGCTTTCTGCAGGCTGGAACGTCGGCTGTGTAGGAAGCAACAGCTGACTTCTGGCACCAAGAAGACGGTATACAAATCAATGGTGCTGACGGCTCTCCTCTATAGCAGAGAAATATGGACATTCTACGAAAGGGACATCCATTATGTGAGACGATTTCGCTAGCATGAACTACATCGGATTCTGTGCACTTGATGGTGTGACAGAATTCTTGACACGGAGGTGCCTAGCCGGAGCGAAACAGATTGTATGCTTTTACTACGAAACATGAGGTGGCTCAGACATATCAGCCATATCAAATCGACTAGATTACCGAAAAACCTGCTATAAGGCCAACTTAGTGCAGGGAAGCAGAACGTAGGTAAACCGAAGCTACGCCACCAGGATATGATCAAGGTGAGTTTATCACAAACTAATGTTGACTTTAGGTGCTGGGAACCAATGGGAGTGGACCTCTGCCAATGGCTTAACTACCTCAAGAATGAGGTTGTCCAGGTGCACCAGAAAGGACTGTTGCATCACGAAGAAAATCGCCGGTTACGGAAGCGACAGGCGCCGATGGAGCCTAGTTCATCGACGTCAAACACATCGTGGTGTAGCACATGCGGTCGTGTGTGTCTCAGCCTGGTTAGATCTCAACGTGGCCACGAAGGGCAAATATAGAAGAGGCGACGGGTAAGCTGAATAGGCAGGTAACGGCGCAGTGCTTGACAAGGCTATGCCAATAATGTGGTAGATGTGACACGTGTGCTACATTACGGTCGCAGCTGATCTATACGTGTGCTTGCCTCCGTGTTGATTTTCTCGTATTTTATTGTTATCCCCGATGTGATTGCGCTTAACATAAATGTTGGCAAAGTGCCTACCAGTCGAAAACGACCACCTTGATTACCGCCTCCAAATGACTGTTGATCGTTGATGGGGGAGACGGGGTGCACGGTCCTCGTGGCCGTGTTGGGCCCAGAGGGTGGTTCCATCCAGTGTGGAACGGGCTACAGCCCACGCAGCGTCCTATGTACGTTTGGTATGCATTTCCCCCTATTCACCAAATGTATGATGTGCATGCTGTAGGAGCATGGGCCGACTGCGAAGCAATCTTGGCTGCCATCTACATGAATCACAGTCTTATTCCTTCGGATTTACACTGGATATGCGGTGCGTGGATAGAGCTGTGGGGTGTGCAACGCAAGCCACCCATGGTCCCTCGGTAGGCACAGGAGTCATGTGGCTATACGCAATCTCAGCGATAGGCAAATTAGGAAACGGATGCCGCCTAACATGCAGTAGACCGATGTTTAGCAGTTACCACGTTCGTAACCGACCTAGGTATACACCGCTGTTGCAAGGGTAACCAATAGGGAGACCGGTATAGGCATACTGATCCCGGTCGTCTACCAAGTTTTTTGAAATCAAAGGCATACTGACCCCTTTTTGGGGTTATTCTTCTATAAGGGATCATTATGGGACTAACCATAGAGGTGTGGATCATTTGGCATATTCCATCGGGCCCGACCTCCTACGCTGTGACACGAGAACCGTCTCCAATGCTCTCCCGTGTGGCCCGAAGGGAAAGCAACTATTATAGTGTGGGCATTCGTAACAACACGAAACTAATGATGGCGTGTAACAACCTCGGGTATAGCGGTGACTGACCCGTTTTCGAGAATTGATTGAGAAAATTCTCAGAAAATTTCACCATCTCAGTGGATTACTTTTTGTTAGTCTACTGACGGATATTCGAGTATCTTAGTTCATTTGGATGGCAAGAAATGAGCGCTAAGAAGCAGATAAAGATGTGACTGTATGCTCCAAGTCAATGCTTACCTGAACCAAGCCCGATGAGAAGCCAAGAGCGACTAACAATCTGTACGTATTTTCGACATTGTTGGCAATGACGCCACAGCTACAAGCCTGCAAACGAGACCGTGTGTTTTGAGCAGCTGAGTATAAAACGGTAGAGGATCGACTACAAATCAAAGCAAAAACACCGTCATTTGTTCCCACAACCGAAATGTGTCCGAAAGGATCCGTGTCAAATGAAGTGACTTCAGCGACGGAATGAGTTCCATGGCGCCAAGAACTTGAGTTTCTCCAAGGGCCTACACAAAACGGAAAGTAACCAAGCATACAGACCAGAGTAAAACGGTGGCATCATAGGTGGCTTTTAATGATAATTGAATGTTAATCGTAATATTTAAAAGAGCTCAGACACATTGCAGCACCCCACAGCTAAGGAAAGCGGAGGAAGATCATCTGTTCGAAATGTTTACACGGAATGGATATCCCAAGAGTTTCGTTCTATGCTGTTTAACATCGAAAAACGATCATTGCATGAACAAACATCAGAAACGGATAAAAGGACACTAATTCTACCATACATCAACGGCGTCTTTGAGCTGGCGGCGACTCTTAGTACATTACGGGATCAGAGTTGCTCACAAGCCAACGGAAACTATTCGAGGTAAGCTCTTCAACGATAAGGACCCGCTTGACAAGGAAGAAACAAGTGGTGTGATTTACAAAATTTACTGCAAAGCTTGCAAAAAATACTATGTGGGCCAGACAGGCTACATGAACATAGCCTAGCCATCCGGCGACATGATCAGAACTCTCTCATGTCGGTACAAATGGACGCCGATCATCATCAGTTTGATTTGGAGGATGACAGGATCATAGGCACGGCAAAAGTCAAACAGGGCGCGAGTTCGTCGAGGCTTGGTACTTGGGGAAGAACTCAATCACCAGACACTTGGATCTAGATACTACCTATGAAGCGCTGAGGGTCAAATCAATACTCCGCCCCACGTCAACTGGACAAAGGAACGCCACTGAGGCGGATTCTAGCCAACGGAACGCCAGAGCTGACTACATGGTCAGCTCACGTGGACCAACCGACTCCTGACGTTCGAAGCAGTAAGCGATCAATAATAACTTGGATCTGTAAGTGGCCCGCATATTTCGCACTGATGATGTTGTCTAGTCTGAGGATGAAACGTCTGTAGCCAAATCACCTAACTCGGAAAACAATCGCATACCCTCAATCGAAAAATATCTTTAGTACCTGCAACTTCCCGATTTAGATGTTTGATTAGACTAAGCCGAGCCAATGAGCACAACAATTAAAGCGACTGCCGTCACTACGCGGTAGGCAGCCACGTGCGTTCAGCTTCCGTGCAATAAAATAAATGAATGAGTAAATAAGCTTTTATGCTCGACAATGTGAGGCACACCTATGCAGGCATGATCATGTAAAGATAACAAGGTGTGGTCAAAAATGTACAAAAATACGCTTTCTAAAACAGTGAATGTATGTGATTGAGGTGCATATACGTATGTAACTGTGTACGGTGTGCACAGTCCTGGTGGCCGTGCCAAGCTCGAAGTGTGATTCCGTGCACTCAGTGTGGAGCGGATCACGGTCCAGACACCGTTTTGTGTGCGTTTGATTCCCCAACTACAGTGTGCTTGTGTTTGCCTGTGAAGGAGTGTGGGCCGGCTCCGTTGATGAAACTTGGCTCCTATCCACATGCCTCGGTTTTATTCCTTCGGGTTTACACTAGATATGGGGTGTGTGGTTGGAGCTGTGGGTGGTGTAGCGCAAGCCACTCATGGTCCGTCTGCAGGCGCAGGCGTCCTGTGGCTGGCCACAGTGACAGTCAAATGAGAAACCTGATGTCCCCAACCATGTATGTAGCTGGTGCTTGTAGGTGTGCTGCTGTATTTTTGTCTGTTTGTTATCGCCAGGAATAAACGATTGATGTCCGTAGGTTGAATAGCATTATCCGGACATCCACGGGGCAGTGACGTTAGTTTGTGACGAGTCACATCCGCCACATCGCCGTGTTGGTAAGTAGATATTTGTAGCTTTTTATAAGGAGAATGCTTGTCAGGCGAAAACCCACCACGTCCTGGAACACTGCCTGCTGGAGCGGGTTAAACCCGAACCACCCAGTTGGCATCACGAGGAGGTTGTTCGGCTAGCATACAGCCTCTGATCAAATGCGTTTAGGCAGAGAAAAGCAAAGCACGTGCATCAGATGCTGAATGAGATAGAGACAAAGGATAAACAAACTAATAACAAGACCCACAGCGTCTGGGAAAGGGTGTGGAACAACTAGTCCACTGCTATGAGTCTACTTCCGTTGCATCTTATATACACGATTTGAGTTTCCCATTACTTCTTTGCAAATCGTAACTAACTTAACCATCGGTCCTAAATCGACTGACACGGTGTTGCCATATCGACTGTATGCTGACTAACCAGGCTGGTTAGCCGAAGGACCTCCCCGTGGTGTCAGTTGTGTGCTTCGGGCTGATCCCGCTTCAGCGCTTGGTTCGGCGGCACTGTTCCACGACGTGGTGGGTTTCCGCCTGGCATATGTTCTCTTTATAAAAGCCACAAATCTCTGTTTAACAACATTGTGACGGGGCGGTTGTGACTCGCCACTTAATAAAGTTACTGCTTCTTGCCTTTCCGGAGGATCTTACGCACTTCACGAACGTCATCCATTTCGAAGGGTTCTTTGGATTAAGTTTTATGTTGGCAAGCCCATCAGACCAAATCAAAAATTCAGTCACATTAACAAACTCACTCAACATGGCTACCTACATGGTTGGCGGCATCCGGATTCGGATTTGCCTGTCAATGTGGCCAGCCACAGGATACCTGCGCCTACACAGGGACCATGGGTGGCTTGCGCTGCACCACCCACAGCTCCAACCACACACCCCATATCCAGTGTAAACCCGAAGGAATAAGACCGGGAGGCATGCGGATGGGAACCACGTTTCATCAACGGAGCCGGCCCACACTCCTTCACAGGCAAACACAAGCACACTGTATTTGGGGAATCAACCGCACACAAGGCGGTGGCTGGACCGTAGTCCGCTCCACACTGAGTGCATGGAACCACTCTGCGAGTCTAGCACGGCCACAAGGACCGTGCACCCCGTCCCCTCCAGCAACGACCAACTGTCTCCTGGAGCCAGTATGGACGAGATAGTGGGTAATAGACAGGTAGGCACCTTGTCAACGTGCACATCAAGCGCAGCCACACCGGGGATATCAAGCAACAGCCAATCACTTGAAACGACAAGTTGAAATAAAATAAATCCAATAATGCATACAGATACGGTGGCATAACTCTTCCCTAAATTACCATATGAAGTAAGTTGGTTAGTAACGAATTCGCGATAAGTAAGAAATGTCCACAAATTACTTAAAAATGCCACAAACGCAACAAAATTGCCGAAGATAACCACAATTAGCGTAAGCAACGTGGCCAGTTAATAGAACATTATTCAGGCAGGCAGAACAAACCAAATAAAGTGGAATGAAATTTGTTGAGCATAAAAAGACCTAGTTTAAGTGTAAGTTGGTTTAGCCCAACTGCGGTGAAGAAGCATCAAAAATGCAACATCAGCCTCAGAATGGGGCACACATACATACATGGTTGGCGGCATCCGGTTTCGGATTTGCCTGTCAAAATGGCCAGCCACAGGACGCCTGCGCCTACACAGGGACCATGGGTGGCTTGCGCTGCACCACCCACAGCTCCAACCACTCACCCCATATCCAGTGTAAATCCGAAGGAATAAGACCGGAAGGCATGTGGATGGGAGCCACGTTTCATCAACGGAGCCGGCCCACACTCCTTCACAGGCAAACACAAGCGCGCTGTATTTGGGGAATCAAGCGCATCTACATTTACCATGCACACAAAAATTCGGTATGTTACTGGTTAACTTGTGACAGGATTATTCAAATTATGACCATAAGTGTTTTTATGATGATGATCATGCGTTTGCAGCCGTGCCTCTCACTGACGAGAATAAACCATTTATTTATTTATAAACCGTAGGCGTACACAGCGGAAGCGCACTTTCAACCACTATGCGGAAAGAGCTGGGACACAGTTTTTCTCTTCTCCTGGGAGCAAGAAAAGTAGACTGTTGGGGAAGCTTCAGTAGGTCAAAGTGATGGTCTAAGATAGTTTTGGGTGCTGCGGAGAGTTGGACCACACCTAGCCGCAACGAATGCCATCTGTACTGTTTGAATCTCTAGGATGCACATAGAAATTACAATGTATGTAAGGCTTTATGTAAAAATTGCGAAATGGGTGTCTAGAGGAGCAAAAATAAGTAATGAAGATGTGAGAACGCAATGAGAGTGAGGAAGAGAAATTCCCACTATTGCTTCAATCGTGAACGGAAGGTGGAAGGCATGGAAACAAAACACAAATCCAGGCAAAGAAAGCCAATGAGAAAGGTTCCAAGGAAGCGCAATGGAATGCCTGGCGTATCTGAAATTGGGGTGGCACTCGTGGAAAAGGTGTGTCAAACGCCAGAGACCGCGGAGAATATTTGTTCCCGTGGACGAATACTTTCACTGATTTATCCACCAGTAAGTTACTAACAAATGGTATGTTAAAGGTTACCAAGTTTTTGGAACAGAAGTGACAATTTGTCACTTGCACGCAAGGAGAGGAGTAAATGTAAACTAGCACGATGGCGCCGATAGCTCTAAACGTACGTCGTGCGAAAGCATTGTAACGAAAGGTCAACAGCGCACGTCTTATCACCGTTACGGACGAAGGTGTTTCCTAAAAGGGAAAACTTATTTCGCACTGAGTCGTAGCCAATCGATGGGACGTGCCGTTTCGGTCATATGCTGATGAACTACTTGCTGGATAAAGTGCTCAGTTTACTGAAGGCACTGGGATACAAGGTCATAGAAAGGGTGTGCACTGTCATGTAAAGTACTGTGTCAGCACACCAGGGAGTACTGGAGTCGAACCGATTAGGCGGAGTGTAGGTCCCCAAGCAGACAGATAATTATGAAACAATGCACAAGGTACTTGGTGCGTTCCTATTCGCTTGGGGTGTGTGAAAAGAAGTTCAGCGTTACAATGTGTAACGAAAGCAGACAAGCTTACACAGATGTGTGAGAAGTGGATGCGCAGGAGCACCGAGTGCTATGTAGCACTCTAAGAGTCAAAACAAAGTCAACCTCTCTTGTTAACGAACCATAGGATTATTTATACTGGACATAGATTCGAGGTGCCATTTCAATGTGGCAGCTTTCCAATGGCTATTTCAC